ACACACACACACACACACACCAAAAAAAGTGGGTGGAAATGTCTGTGTGTCTTATAGAGCAAATATTGCGGTGGGGGGAGATGGGGTTGGTGCGGTGCTGATCAGCTGTTCTAGGCAGCAGGGATTGCCACCGCCGTCGCCCATTTGCTGGCAATCCCCACCGCCTAGAACAGCTGATCGGCGGTATTCTTGGAGGCAAATCCAAGCACCAATCAGCTGCTCAGCTGCTCCAATGTTTCCTGGCAGTGGCAGCAGCTCAGCTCAGTGGACCGGTGGTGGGCACAACAGAGCAGAGCCCTGATGAGCCACATGCCGGGACTATGATAATGTGCTGAAACTGCCCAGGATGTTTGCTGCTAGCGGAAAACAGATGGATTCTGGGAGGCAGAGGCAGATTTTTTTTCTTGTTTTCCTCCTCTAAAGCTAATGTGCGTCTTATAGTCCAGAGCATCTTCTACTCTGAAAAATACGGTAGTTGACTAAATTATTTTTAGTCAGCTCTTTATGACTACTAGGTTTTCTCTAAGTTAAGACCTCATGCCCTCATGCACATAAGAATATTTTTGTAGGAAATGTTTTAACACTTTTTTCTAACATAAAACTTAACATTTGCCCAGTAATTCTTCACTCAGGATAAGAATTGGACTACGCTATTGATCTGATGTACAGTGTGAATTCTTTGCTTTTCTTTGAAAGATGCATTCTGTTCTAGGAGTCTGTGGACTGATTGTACCTCAGGAAGACATGCCATTTTGTGATTCAGGAATCTGTCCTGATATCATTATGAATCCCCATGGCTTCCCATCACGTATGACGGTATGTAACAGCATACACTTATAACTGCGTTTCATTTTAATGGATTTTTTTTAATGCTGTTGTTATCCTTTTTAATAGATTTGTCTATTGGCAATGTCAATTCCCATATTCTACATTATTCTTCATAGGGTAGAACAAATGTACAGCCCATTATGTATCTTGAAAGCCTGTGCTTTTCTATTCGCTGAAAGAAACCGGGTTGGCCCAATAATATTTTCCAGGTTTATGCTTATCTATTGGGACCTTTACATTAATTATTTATCAGTAATGCGTATCTTCATAAAAACAAAGCAGAAGCTGCTTTAGTGGAAGAATCTGGTAAAAATGAATCTGTGCTTCTCTTAGTTACTGCCAGCCTGATCAAACATAAATGTGTTGGATTCTGCATTACGTAGCCTTTGTTAATTGCCTTCTGCCTAATTTGATTTGTTGCTTATAAAACATTGGTTAAATGTCAGAGAGGGCATCCCAGGTTTCTTGTTCTCTGTCTTGGTTGATCAGCCCCAGTTCATAGTTTTGCTTTAGCTCACTGATTCTATACTCCTTTTTAAAAATGGTAAAGAAATATAGCTATTTGTACCTCATCATCATCATAAACTTGTAACAAGCTCAGTTAGGAAAGAGACTTTCTTGGTTATATTGCCCAAGGAGAATGGATAAAACTGTGNCCCCTTCTCTCTCTCCCCCGTCTTTCTCTGGCTGCCGGCTACACATCGTTGGCCGCCCCCACACGCTGCAGCAGAATGTTACAGGGACTGAATTACAAAGCACAGGCTGGGTGTGTGTGTGTGTGTGAGTTTGTAGATGTGTGTGTGTCTCTCTCTATACGCACTCGGAGTTGCTATATTTAGCCGGCCGTGGCTGTTTTTAGCTCCTTGATTCAGAACCTAAATTAGCAGAAAAGAGGGGGAGAACATTCAACTCAACTTTTTGGCAAAGGGATGGAGTTGATGAACCGAAAAAGGGAGAATTTGGTCAGTACTGTACCAGGGAAACAAACCCTTCTTTAGGCATCAGTTGGCCCCCCTCCCCAAAAGTTTATATCTCCCTCCACCCCCGTTTTCTAAACCTTTCTCTCCCCCCTCCTCGCCCAATCCCACCCAGTATTGCCACACAGTGATTCACAGTCACAACGTGAAAAATGATTCACCTTCCCCCAATCAACGCTCAGTTGGGAGTTGATCTGCCTTTTCGATCTGCCACCATCTTCGGTCAAATCGATCCATATAGAGCTGGAAGGGACCCTGGAGGTCTTCTAGTCCAGCCCCCTGCTTCAGCAGGGGACGCCGTTCGCACGGAGGCTCTCCTTTCATAACCCCATGTACACACCCTTCACACCCCATTGTAGTTGCATTCCCGTGCTTTGTCCGATCGAATAGTAGGTTGTTTTCGGCTTGCGCCACAATGGAGCAACAAATTTTGGTGTCTGAGCCAGGCTGTTGTGAAGCTTTCGCCCCATCGTAACTGCCTTCCCTGCCGTCGTCGTTCGGCGAATCACGGCAGTTGTGACGCGGTGGTCTTTAGTGAATCTGGCTGGCCAAACGTGACCCCGGGAAGACTGCAACCGTCATAAATATGAGTCAGTGGCCAAGCATCAGAATTCTGATCATGCGAGCCATGGGGATGCGGTCATGGTTTTTATGAAAAATGGTTGTAAGTCACTTTTTTCCCAGGGCTGTTCTAACTTTGGACGGTCACTAAATGGATTAACATTTAGGGTTGAGAGAGAGACTGGAACCCAAGTCACCCAGCTGACTTTCATGGCTGAGGTGGGACTAGAACTCACCGTCTCCTGGTGATCGGCATAACTGGTTTTCATGCTAAAGGAGGTCTAGAATTCACTGTCGCCTGGTGATTGGCCCACCCACCCAGCTTTCATGACCTAGACGAAACTAGAGCTCCCTGTCTCCTGGTGATCAGCCCAAAGTCACCTAGGTAGCTTTCATGCCTAAGGAGGGACTAGAACTCACCCTCACCTGATGATTGGCCCAGCTAGCTTTCATGCTAAAGAGGGACTAGAATTGTGGGGATTGGTCCAAAATCACCCAGCCAGCTTTCGTGACTAAGACGAAACTAGAACTTCCCGTCTCCTGGTGATTGGCCCAAAATTACCCTGTTGGCTGAAAGGATTGTTGCATGCCTGGTGTTCTCTGAGTTTAGGGAATTTCCTGCAAATGTTTTATTCCCAGACTAGGTAACGTTATCAGTGTGAGTAGGGACAGGAGTGTTGATTGCTTGTTCATAGAAAGTAGCTGGTCCTCCCAGTCTCAATTCTACCTTCCTTGATTTTTAATTCCTCAGCATGGCTGGCTGAGGAATTCTGGGAGTTGAAGTCCACAAGTCTTAAAGTCGCCATGTTTGGCTGACTGAGGTATTCTGGGAGTTGAAGTCCACAGGTTTTAAAGTCGCCATGTTTGATTGGCTGAGGAATTCTGGGAGTTGAAGTCCACAGGTCTTAAAGTTGCCATGTTTGATTGGCTGAGGAATTCTGGGAGTTGAAGTCCACGGGTTTTAAAGTCACCATGTTTTATTGGCTAAGGAATTCTGGGAGTTGAAGTGCACAAGTCTTAAAGTCGCCATGTTTGACTGGCTGAGGAATTCTGGGAGTTGAAGTCCACATGTCTTAAAGTTGCCATGTTTGATTGGCTGAGGAATTCTGGGAGTTGAAGTCCACGGGTTTTAAAGTTGCCATGTTTTATTGGCTAAGGAATTCTGGGAGTTGAAGTGCACAAGTCTTAAAGTCGCCATGTTTTATTGGCTGAGGAATTCTGGGAGTTGAAGTCCACAGGTCTTAAAGTTGCCATGTTTGGCTGGCTGAGGAATTCTGGGAGTTGAAGGTTGGAGACCCCTGCTCTACAATATTGTGTAGTCTGATGGTACAGGTAGTCCTCAACTTACAACAGTTCATTTAGTGACTGTCCAAAGTTACACTGAAAAATGTGATTTAGGACTCTTTTTCACAGTTACGACCTTTGCAGCATCCCCACAATCATGTGATCAAACATCCAGATGTTTGGTCAATGACCCATGGTCACATGATCCCCTTTTGCGACCTTTTGATGGGCAGGAAGCCAGATTCACTTAACAACTATGTCACTAACTTATCAACCTTAACCATGGTGGCAAGAGAGGTTGTAAAATGGGGCAAAACTCATTTAACAAACGGTTTGCTGAACCACGGAAATTTTGAGCTCAAGTGTGGTCGTAAATCAGGGACAACCCGTACAAGAGAAAAATCAAAATCTCAAAGCAAGTTTAGCTGTTACTCTCATCAGGAATAAGTCCAGGTACTTTTATCTGCAGTTGTCGTGATTTCCCACTGATTACTCCTGGCATATATATATTTTAAATTTCTCAGTCTAGCCTGTAGCTCTGAAATCTCCTGGTGGCCTTCCATCCATATCCTAAACCGGCTACCACCTATTTAAGCTTGTAGCCCAGGCAATGTCAGCCGAATACTGCCACCTGCTGGTGCGTAAGAGGATTTTGTAAGGTTCTACAAATCAAATGCAGCTCCTAATGACTTTGTGGCTCCATCCATGCGATTTTCTTGGCGAGGTTGAAGTAGTGATGCGCTCCCTCCCCCTTCGCAACATCCTTGAGCTTCCTTATAGTCCCCACATCAAGTCCTAATCAAGTCTGACCTTGCTAGAGATCAGCCCAAGTTAGCAAGGCTCCGCATGGCTTGACAGAACATTAGACAATGTTTCCATGAGTTTTTGCAAGGTTTCCATTCTAAAATTCCCTAGAACATAGAATGTAAACATACATAGAACACAGAATCTTGCAGAGGTGAAATATCCACATGCCCGGGTCATCCAACCAGATCTGCAGCTTGGAATTTGCAAATTTACATCTGTCCTTCCTTACTCCTGGAATTGTTGTCAGCTCAGAAAGACAACCTTAGAGTCAAATGGAACTTTTTAGGAATGGCTGTTCCTGGATCAGTCAGTTGCATAAACAGTCTGTCTGCATTGCAGAAGAGTGATAATTGTGTAACTGTCAAGTTGTTCTCCTTGGAAAATCAACACATAACTAACTGGAGGTGTTACAGTATGGCATGATGGGAAGAGGGAAGGGAAGGGATAGTAGAAAGGAGGGGAAAAGGAAGGGCGGGGGAAGGGAGGAAAGGAAAGGAAGGGAAGGGAGAAAGGAAAGGACAGGAAGGGAAAGGAATGGGAAAATGAAGGAAAGAAGAAAGAAAGTGAAGGAAGGAAAAATGAAAAGAGGGAGGGAGGGAAGAAAGGGAGGGAAGAAAGAGGGAGGGAGGAAGCAAGCACTGAAGAAGGAAAAGGATTAGGGATGGTGAAGAAAAGGGGAGGATGGGAGAAGGAAATGGAAGGAGGAGGGAGGGAGGAAGGAAAGGGATGAGGGAGGGAGGAAGAAAAGAAGCAGGGAAGGGAAGGAGGAGGGAAGGAAGAATGGAAGGAAATAAAGAAGGGAGGGAGGGATGAAGGAAGGAAGGAAAGGGATGAGAGAGGACAGAAAAGGAAGGAAAGGGAAGGAAGGAAGGAAAGAAGGAAGAGGAAAGGGAGGGACAAAGGAAGGAAGGAAGGAGAGATGCTAAAAGCAAACACAATATTCCTTAAGACAGGACCTTGCATAGTTTTGGGGGACAGTTTCTAACTTCCTCTCTCCATCCTGGGGTGCCTCCTCCTTTCTGGCACCTTCCAAAACAAGGGCAGCACCACAAAGAGCCAGCCGCCTCCCACCCCATCTCAGCTTTTTCACGCCTTATATAGAACGAGAGATTTATGCTAAAAGCCGAGCTAATTAATGTAGGTTATCTCTGCAAAGAGAGAAAGTGGTGGGGGGGGGGAGGAAGTAAAGAAAGGAAGAAAACGAAGAAGAATAAGAATCACCCCAAATGGGAGATAGAATGCTGTCACTTTTCATGGTTGCTTAGCAACCGCAGAGCTCAAAAAGAACCTTTCCTTTCTCTCTCTTTTTTTGCAGGGTCTATTTTTGGCTTTCACAGAAGAGAATGTTATTTAAGGCCT